ATTAGTGCTGTGTTTTGGACTTAACCTTTTCTTTTTATCCTTTGTCTAATCCGTAATAAAATTCTGTTAGTTTTTGCTTTTATACTGTCATTGGATTTTTTCTTTTTATAAATATATATGTATGTATGTATATTTCATTTTTAAAATGTATTTTGTTGTTGAATGTTGTTAGGTGTTCTCGAGTTGTCTCTGACTCATAGTGACCCTATCTCTGTACACTGTTTGGTCCTGTGTCATCCTCATAGTTGTTAAACTTGAGCCCGTTGCTGCTGCCAAAGTATGAGACGAAGTCTTGCCATCCTGGCATCTTTGATACTCTTCTCTAACACCGTATGTAACTCAAACACATCAATGCTTTTACAATCTTAACTTATTCACTATTCAACTTTCACATGCATATGGAGCTAATGAAAATACCATGGCTTGGGGCAGGCGCGTTCTTTTCTCTTGAACACTTTAAAGAGGTCTTGTGTATCAGATTTGCCCAATGTAATATGTCATTTGAGTTCTTGACTGCACTTCCATGAATGTTCATAGTGGATCCAAGCAAAATGAAGTCCTTGACAACTTCAGCCTTTTCTCCAATTACTGCATTTATTGGCCCAGTGGTAAGGATTTTTGTTTTCTTTACATTGAGGTACCACCCATACCCATGACTGTGGTCATTGATCTTCATCAGTAAGTACTTTAAGCCCCCTTCACTATCAGCAGGTAAGGTTGTATCATCTGCATATTATAGGTTGTTAGTGAATCTTCCTCCAATCCTGGTAACATTTTCTTGATATAATCCAGTTTCTCTGATTATTTACTCAGTATAACGAATACAACCCTGGTGCAAACCTTTCCTAAATTTAACCTATTCAGTATCCTTTTGTTCTTTTTGAACAACTGTCTCTCTGTGTATGTACAGGTTCCTCATGCACACAATCAAGTGTTTTGATATACCCATTTTTCACAGTGTTATTCATAACTTGTCATGATCCACAGTCAAAAGCCTTTGCATAGTCACAAGTAAAAATGTTGAGGTTATACATAGGAAAGCAAACCAATTCAACAATTTTTACCAGTATAGTTCAGTGACATTGTACATGGTTGTGCAACCATTCTCACCCTTTTTTTTCCTTTAAGTTGTTCTTCAGCAATAGCATCCTATAAGATTCCTGCCTAACCTTTTGAATTGCTGTTGTTTCTTTGATTCCATATAGATTCGTAAAAGAACATGATGCTTAAGGCAAACATTTTTATATAATCTAAATTCTTGGTGTTTTTTTTTTTTTTTTACAATGGATAATCAATTTTTTTAAATAGCTCACTTATTGTTTGGTTTTAAGAAGACTTTAAGTTACAATTTTTAGTATAAGGTTTAAAGATTATCTCAGGGCAATAGTTTTAAGGGTTTGTTTAGTCTCCACGGCTCTAGAAAGTCTAGTACATGAGAATTTAAAATTCTGCCCTGGATTGTCTCCCTTTTGATCAGGATTCTTCTATAGAATCTTTGATAAAAAATATTGAGTATTTGTAGGCAGGCACCATCGAGTTTTTCTGAATTCATGGTAAAGGAGATAGTTCATGAAGGCAATGAGCTACATTTTCCACCTTATCCTCAGGTGTGACGCTGTAGGGTAAACACTGGACTGTGAATCACAAGGTTGGTGGTTCAAACTCACCATCTCCTCCTTGGAAACCCTATACAGCTGTGGTTGCTGTGAGTCCGAATTGGCTTGATGACACTTAGCAACAACAGCATTCTCTGAGCAAAGTATGGACGATGCAGGAATCAAAACAAGATGGAGTCCATTGGTTGACATTCATCCATTTTAAGTGGTAGCATATAGGGAAGAAATTCAAGCTGTACTGAAGGCATTAGCTAAAGACAAGTGGCCAGAAATTGATGTAATACAATTGAAATGTTTCAACAAACAAATGCAGTGCTGAAAGAACTTGTTAGTTTTGATGCCAAGAAATTTGAAAGGCAGCTGCCTAGTTAGTTATTTGGAAGAGATCCATATTTGTGCCTATTCCAAAGAAAAGTGACCCAGTAGAATGTGGAAATTATCGAACAATATCATTAATACCACGTGCAAGTAAAATTTTGCTAAAGATAATTTAAAAATGATTGCAAAATACTTCACCATGGAGCCGCCAGAAATTCAAGTTGGATTCAGAAGAGTACATAGAACCAAGGATATGATTGCTGACGTTAGATGGATCTTGGCAGAAAGCAGAGAATACCAGAAAGATGGTTGTTGTTGTTGTTGTTTACTTGTGTTTTATTAACTATGCAAATTTTATTAGCTATGCAAAGGCATTTGACTTTGTGGATCATGACAAAATCTGAATTGCGTTAAGAGCATTCCAGAATACGTAATTGTGCTCATGCAGAACCTTACATAGACCAAGAGGCAGTCAGTGGAACAGAACAAGGTGATATCATGTGATTTAAAATCAGGAAAAGTAAGTCAGGGTTGTATCCTATCACCATTTGCATGCTATGCAAATAATCCGAAAAGCTGGGCTATATGAAGAAGAAAATGACATCAAGAGAAGGGCTTACTAACAACCTGTGATAAGTAGATGATACAGCCTTGCTTGTTGAAAGCAAAAAGGATGTGATGCACTTGCTAATGCACATCAAAGAATGTAGCCTTCAATATGGGATATAATCCAGTGCATATAAAGAAAACAGAAAATCTCACAATTGGACCAATAAGCAAAAGATGGATGTTAACAAAGATTTCGTTTTAGGCAGACCCATAGTCAACACTCCTGGAAATTGTTGTTGTTATGTGCTGTTGAGTCAATTTTGACTCATAGTGACCCTGAATAGTAGGGTCTACTAGAAGTGACTGGTGGGTGTGAACTACCGACTTCCTGGTTACCAGTTCAGTGTTTATCCTATAGCACCACAGCAGGACTCCACTCCTGAAAGTAGCAGTCTGGAAATCAAATGATGTATTGCATTGGGCAAAGATGTAACTTTGAGGATTAAGGTGCACCAGGTCATTGTATTTTCAGTTGCTGTGTATGTGTTGCTGTTCAATAGTGAATAAGGAAGACTGAAGAAGAATGGGTGCATTTTAATTATGGTGTTTGCAAAGAATATTGAAAGTACAATGGATTGCCAGAATCGCAAACAAGTGTCTTGTAAGTAGTACAAACAGAATGTTCTTAGAAGTAAAGATGGCGAGACTTTTCCATGTACTTTCGACAGTTTATCAGGAGAGACTAGTAGGGCATCATATGTTTGGTAGAAAAGCATTTCAGTGGAAAAAGAAGACACCTAATGAGGTGGATTGACAAAGCAACAGCTATGAGGATGGGGCAGTGTTTCTATCTGGTATGAATAGGGTTGATATGAGTTAGAGCCAGCTCCATGGCACTGGCACCTAACAAATAACATTCCTTATTCTACCACTAAGGAGCTCTGGTAGCGTAGTGGTTACGAATCGGGCTGCGAACCTCAAGGATAGCAGTTCGAAACTACCAGCTGATCCGCGGGAGAAAGATGAGGCTTTCTGCTCCCGTAAAGATTTACAGCCTTGGAAACCCTATACAGGGTTGCTATGAGTCGGAACCGACTCCATGGCACACAACAACAACAATTCTACTACTACTTTTGTTGCTCTAGGTAAATGGAGATCATTTGTGCCTTGGATGGTCCCTTGCAACCTTTTAAGACCTCAAGCACTATGCAAAGGAAACAGTTATTTAAATTCTGTAAAATTATTTGTTGTGTTTCTTTGAATCCTGGTGAATTTTAGCTCTTGCCATTGACATCTTTGACTCACTGAAAAAAAAAAAAATTTTTTTTTTTAAAGTTTTTATTGTAGATTGAGTGAAAGTTTATGGGGCAGATCATCAGTTTTACATTCAACAAATCATACTTTGTTTCATTACAATGGTTATAATCCCCTCTATGTACCATCAGATACCAGTATTTCTCTCTATTCATTTTAGCTCTTTTTTTTTTTAAACATTCAGGCATATATAATAATTTACACCACCAAAAGGGCACATTCAGCAAGGCTGCCAGCTCTCAGTTCCTCTCTTTCCATGAATTAGAGCCCTCACCTGCTCCCTCTCTCCATGTCCTCATCTCTGCCTCCATCTCTGGTGTTGTTACTTCTCTGGATAAGGTCTCGCATTCTGCTTGTGCTTGCGTTCTGGACTGTAAGATTAACCACTCCCCTGTTCTTGTTACAAAACTTTTACCTTTACAATTGTGACAGTCGAAATCAGTCATGATAACAATTACTTTTACTGAATCCTAAGAATCTCATCCCCATCTCTTTTTACCAGACCCATCTAGACAAGATGAAAACTATTCAGTGGGCACTCCTTATCTTCCCCTTCTTGTTGTTAAAGTACTGTCAAGTCAATTCTGACCCATAGTGACCCTGTGTAGGGTTTCCAAAGAGCAGCTGGTGTGCTTGAACCGCTGACCTTGCAGTTCAAACAGCTTTGCAGTCTGGCACATTAACCCACAGTGCCACACCAGGACTAAACTCCCTCGTGAAACCTTGTAAGCTAGTCACTTCGAGCCTTTATCACCCCCTCATTTTAGGTAGCCAATGTTTAAATTGCCCATCCACATCTACCCTGTATACAGAGGGACTAGCATTGATACTTGATGTGAAGACTCCTTCCCTTTCTGTTGGTATTTTGAGCTACTACATCCATGAGTATAGGTCAAGTTCATCATATTGTAGCAATTTATCCTCGTTTCCTTTATAATTTAAGAATCACATTTTAAATAGTAGCTTCTTGAATGGACAGCTTATAATGAGACAGTTTATTCAAGGCTTAACGGATTGGTTTCAGAAATGGAATGAACCTGTGGATAGGTGGGTAGAGGGCATTTTCTGTAAATCAGAAAGCATAAATAAGAGGTGATGAAGTTGAGGTATGCATGGAACTTTTGTTTTCTTTGACCCTGCTCTTTTAGATCTATCTTGATCTCGTACTAAATGGTAAATATATTTTATTTTCTCTCCATCCAGTCTGTGGCCCCAGCAGCCTTATTTTTAGCAGCTAAAGTAGAAGAACAGCCAAAAAAATTGGAGCACGTCATCAAAGTAGCACATACTTGTCTGCATCCACAAGAATCACTTCCTGATACAAGGAGTGAGGTAGGGGTTTAATTATGCATTTACTTGTCTTTATTTTTATTGCAAGTTAATTTTGTAACTTTGACTTAATAAAGTTTGAATGAGTCTCTTAAAGGAACATTGCAGTGTCTGGTTCTGGACTGCAAGGTTTGATCCACAAGGTTGATGGTTCAAGCTCATCAGCCTCTCCTCAGAAACCTTATTTAGGGTTGCTTTGAGTCAAAGGAGTCTTGTGTGGCGCTGTGGTTTAATGCACTGGACTGCAAAGACGGTTTGAACTGCAAGGTCAGCAGTTCAAGCTCACCAGTCACTCCCTGGAAGCTATATACAGAGTCACTATGGGTTGGAACCAATTTGACAACACTTAGCAATAATTCCCCAAAATTTTTTTTGGCAAAAGTTAAGTAAGAAGAAAGTACATCACCACTATTATTTCAGCCTCTTTTCTGCCTAGCTATGTATACCTTTTTTTTTTCTCACATATTATATCCCATATACCTTTTATAGTTGATGCATGCATCAACTGTAAAAGTCATCCTTTATTAAATTGATCAATTGAGTCATCCTTTATTAAATTGATAAATGAAATCATGTATTTTCTTCTAATTACATTGAAGAAATCTTTGCTATTTTCATTTTTGTTTTTGTGAAAGAATAGCTCTCCCTAAGGAAATGAACTCAGTGTTTAGAACTTCCTACGTTTTCTTAACTTTGGACTGCATCATTTCTTTCATTTTTTTATTACATAAGTAGCTCTTGTTGAAAAAGGCAGTTTTGCATTTTTGCCTACATCTGAGACTGATTAATGCCATTAACACATAGAATTGATATAAAAACTAAGACAAAAAACTCTGTTTTTTGCCACTTCTTTTATTTCTTCCAAAGTGTATTTATAGGAAGTCTCTCAGTTATGCATATTTGACTTACTACAACCCATTTTAAAATTAATCCCATAAAGCCTATCATTAAAAATTCAAGGTACGTACAATGATTTGTAATAACAAACAGGCATTAACTTTGCTATGTGCATCAAAATATATTACTGTATTATGGTAAAGATATTTTACTTAGTGTATCTAGAAGTGCTTCTTTTTTTTTAAACTTTTTATTGTGACTTGACATCCAACAAATCATACATAATCTCAATGATTACAATCCCTTTCCTACAACAGCAGTTACCCGACTTGCAAAGATAATTTATGCACACATACGAAACAAAACCAAAAATAGATGTTCATCTAAATGTCCAAAGGTTCTTCAATATTTTATGCATATAAAGGTACATTATGTACTATATACTAAGTCAAACATTTGACTGCCACTAGATATGAGCCATACCTAACTGTTGCAAGTTATGTACAAATCCAGTTTAAAGACAGACATAGAAATGAAACTTGTTTGTAATTTTGGGATTGCCTGTCCATAATTTTTCACCTAAGTCTGTAGTCTTTGTGAGATGGTTAGAGGAAGATGATCAGATGGTTCTCCACTATATGGTAACAGATATGGGTATATGTAAGAACTTATTTGAGGTAATAAAATGGAAAGTTAAGAACTACAAGGTGACTCAGGACTCATTCTCCAGTGCCGTCCTATAGAAACATAATGGGAAACACATTCGTAATTTTAAAATGGTTAAGTTTTTATTAAATTTGACTCAAAACTTCATTTTTACAAAAATGAAGTTAATTTTAATAAAACACTGCATTTAATTGGTTGTTGTTAAGTGCCACTGAGTCAATTCCAACTCACAGCGACCTTTTATCTGGTTTCTGAGGAACAGCTGGTGGGTTTGAACTGCTGAGTGCCATACCAGAAGTCCTGTATTTAACCTAGTATATCTAAATATCATTTGACCAAGGAATCTGTAGTGAAAAGTTATTAATGATGCATTTTATATCCCTGCTTTTTAACTGTGTCTTCAAAATCCAGTGTGTAGTTTACTCTTCCAGCACATCTCAATTTCAACTAGCTACATTTCAAGTACTCAGTGGCCTAACGTGGCTAATGGCTACAATATTAGCCAGCCCATCTTAGATAATTTTTTTGAGATTCTCTTTGAACTCTTTTGTTAATTTTCAGAAATCTAGAATAATCCTTGTTGTTGTTGTTGTTAAGTGCCATCGAGTCGGGTCCGACCCATAGCGACCCTGTACTAGAGAAGGTTTAATAGGAGTCAAGTGTTGGCTACCAGTTATATGCTACAGTGGTGTAGAAGGGCTCTGCAAGTTTATTTTGATGATAATGAAAAAGGTCTATTGTTAATTTTCTTATGTCTAACCCACACAAACTTTAAAACTGAAAATATCAGTCTGAAAATGCACCAGGTCTTTTGAAAACTAAACTTGTTGCTGTTAAGTCAATTCCAACTCAGCAATTCTGTGTTGTTGTTGGTAAGTGTTCTTGAGTTGGTTCTGACTGATAGTGACCCTGTATATTGTTTCTGAGGAGTAGCTGGTGATTTTGATTGGCTGACTTTACAGTTATCAGGAGTCCAGTGATTATTCTACAGTGCGACCCTATTGTTGTTTAATGCTGTCGAGTTAGTTCTGACTCATAGATTCCCTGTATAGGGTTTCTTGAGGAACATCTGGTGGATGTGTACCATGAACCTTGTAGTCCAAACCAACCTTGCTGTTCAGTGCCTGTCCTATAGCACCACATCAGGACTTCTCTTGTTGTTGTTAAGTGCTGTCGAGTCGGTTCCGACCCATAGCAACCCTGTATAGGGTTTCCATGGAGCAAGTGGTGAACTTGAACCACCGACCATGTAGCTCAAATGACTTTGCAGTCCAGCGCATTAGCCCACAGCTCCACACTGTCGGTCAGAGTAAAATAGTACCATAGGAATTTCAAAACTGTAATGTTTACAGAAGCAGATTGCCACATCTTTCACTCTCAGAGCAGGTGTTGGGTTCAAACCCACTGATATTTCTGTTAGTGGCCAGGTGTGCAACCACTGCACAAATAGGGCTCCTTCTGTTGTAGCCATCTACAAGGGGGCTCAAAAAGTTTATTGGAAAATTTCGTTAGGTTTTCTTCATGAAATTTTTAAAGCTCGCTCATATAATAAAATAGTATCTCTCCGTGTACCACTTAAAAACAAAACTAAACAAAAAACAACATAAAGAGAATCTGTCCTGAATGCAATAGAATTGTATTTCAATTCCTATCCTGTCTCCTAACTCTATCCTTGCCTTTTGTTATTTTGTTTTTCCTAGGAAGGGTTCTAAGAATTGTGCTAATTTTTTGGTCTTCTCACCTAGGCTTACCTACAACAAGTTCAAGATCTGGTGATATTAGAGAGTATAATTCTGCAGACTTTAGGTAAGTTCTTTTCATTCTTTCTTTAAAACATGTTAAAAACCGAAGGAGTTTAAAAGTCTGTGGAAAAATTCCATTATCCTTTAGTTCCATCTTCCCACGAGTTTTTGAAGTCCCCTCATATGTACATAAAAAATTATTTGACTTTAAAATTTGCAAGATAGCAAACAAGAAGAATCCCTTGGGAAAGTTTTTGCAAAGTGACCATCTACTTCCAGTATCTAGAGGTTGTAGAGATCAGAGTTTAACCTTGACCTATACCATAGCTAGAATGCAGGTACAGTTGACATTTGAAACAGCAGGTGGTAGGGTTTTGTTTTTTTTTCCATTCTAGGGTTCATGGATGTGTAGTTTAAGGTTTAGCGATTTAACCTAGTAAATAATGGTAGAGAGTATCTAAATAATTTCCAGGGTTTTTTATGGTCTGCTTGTTACAGTATTTACAACTGGTGGCAACCAGTGTGTAGAATAGCAATAAAGGTAAAGGAATTCAAGGTGTAGTTGTTGCATGGACAATTCTGATAACTTTCTGTTATTATCTTATTGTTTTCATCATTATCTTAGCTAACAGAAATACCACAAGCGAATGACTTTAGCAAACAAACTTATTTTCTCACAGTTTGGGAGGTCAATGTCTCTATTCAGGCTGCTGGCTCAAGGGAAAGCTTTTTCTCTCTTTCCACTCTGGAGGAAGGGCCTTGCTTCTTCTGAGCTTCTACTACTTCTAGGCACTTTTCAGTTGGCTTGGCATCTTTATTCCTCCATCTGTGTTCTACTTGCTTGTTAATTTCTTTTTTTTTCTTATGTCAAAAGAGATTGACTCAAAACATACCCTACACTAATTTTGCCTTATTAATATAACAAAGACAACCCATTCCCAAATGGGATTATAAACACAAGCACAGAGATTAGTATCTACAATACATATTTGGGGGACACAAAGGAGTCCAGTGGCATAGTGCCATGTGCATACAAGGCTTTCTTCCATAAAGATTTATAGCCTGGAGAGATAGAGCAGCTTAGGACTCCAGACTCATGGAAAGCGAAAGGCTGTGTGCTGGCAGCCAGGAAGCAGGCTTCCAGAATATGCCCTTTGGTTGTTTAAATGATTATATATTCCTGAGTGTTTTTGTGTACATTCCCCTACCCTATTCCTCCAAAAAAATCCCAGAGGGAATGATGATGCATGGAGGAGATGTTTTTGTGTACATTCCCCCACCCTATTCCTCCAAAAAAATCCCAGAGGGAATGATGATGCATGGAGGAGATTGTAATCATTGCAGTGAAATAATGAGTGTAAAAACGATGATCTCCCATGTAAACTGTCAATCAACTCAAAATAAAAACTTAAAAAAAAAAAATTATAGCCTGTGAAACCCTACGTAGGGTTGTTATGAATCACAGTCAATTTGATGGCAGTGGGTTTGGTTTGGATAAGAGGTTATGATTTAAAACACATATTTTTTTCTGATAGATTAAATTTTTATCATTATTAATGTTAAGGTAGAAATCAGTAAAGTCTAATTTGCAGTAATCAGTTATCTTTATAGAATAATTTATATTACATTTATGTTTCAACAGAATTCTTTACTTGTATCTAGAACATTTTATTTACATGTTCCAAAAGGGAAATCTATTCAGAAACAATTTTTATAAATATACTGATTTCCCCTAAGTAATTTTGCTAAAGTCCATTTGACGTTGTATAAAATGATCAGTACCAATTGTAGTTGAGATGACAAAAAGGAACAGAACTAAGGTAAGAGAGTCATAGGTTTTTACAGTTTTTCAAGGTTAAGCTTTAGAAGGCAATTATCACTTGAAGTGACTGCTTCTCCCAACCTTGTGTTAGGTTTAGTTAGGTTCTTTTGTCCCTGTAAAAAGAGTGCTTTATGTTCAGAGGTTGTTGAGGAGTCTTGAGACTGAGACTGCATTAGTGGTTTTATTTTAGTGATACCCTCTAGCTTAAAAAAAAAAAAGCAGCTTTGTAGATAATACATCTTAGAAAAGTGTACTGCTTAATTTGTGTGACTCAGCCTCTGAAAAACAATTTGGAGAGAGGGGAATAAAGGAGGTCTTTAATGATGACCAAGATAAAAGAAGTATAAAATGTCTTGAGTGTTTTTAGTTTTTTAACCAGTGTTTTCTTCTTTTTTTAGGTTTTGAGCTAACAATTGATCACCCACATACACATGTGGTAAAGTGCACTCAACTTGTTCGAGGTATGGAAACTTGAGATAGCTGTCTTCAATGGTTTTTATCATTTATAATCTATATTCTATATTGATAAAATACATGATACAGCTGCTTTGAACAAAGATTAAATTGAAAAGCCCACCTGGCTTAATCAAAATGAGTGGTTCTGACTTCAGGTTTTCTGTTTTGTTCTCATAATTAATGTTTTAAAATGTTTTCTAGCTAAAAAGTTAGTCATTTAAGTATATTTGTCAAAGTTGGGGTAGATTTTGAAAAATTACCAAGTTGTAAATATATAATAGCAATTGTAAGGCTGTCTTGAGAGTGAGTCAAGGAGCCCTGATAGTGCTGTCTAATAAGCATTGGCCTGCTAACTGTAGGGTTGGCAATTCAAACCCCCAGCTGCTCTTCAGGAGAAAGGTAAGATTCTCTTCCCGTGAAGATTTACAGTCTCAGAACCCTTATATAGAGTCACAGGGAGTTGAAATTAACTTGATGGCAGTACTTTGGGTTAGAGTGAGTCACTCTTCATTTTCACTATGTAAAGTTTTTGATGCAAAGTCAAAATCCAGAAGACTTTGATAAATACAGGAAATGTAACTTTTGCTAAAAAAAAAAAAAAGTAAAGTTTTTGAGTGGTCTCTTATTTAACCCCCCCAAATCATCAAATAACCAAAATAATTTATTGTAATAAAAGAAATCCCTATTTCAGAAAGAAAATACCTTGCAAGTAAAAAGCAAATTTTTATCTTCCTAGAACTTAATTCTTTTCAGTATTAGTATACATTCCATCTCTGTTTAACTTAATCCTTGCTTAATGTACACTTTTTAATGCTTCAAAATAAAAGAATTTGAAAAATTTTGAAATGCTGTAATATAAAATAGGCCAGTGTTTAGTTTGCTCCACAAGACTATATAAGGTGTCCAGATACCCTTGATACTCCTATTTAAGAAAAAACGAGAGGAACTGGGTTTCATCCAGTTAGAGCTGTTGTTGTTGTTAAATGCGGTCGAGTTGGTTCCGACCCATAGCGATCCTGTACAGGGTTTCCGAGTGTGTAAATCTTTACGGGAGTAGAAATCCTCATTTTTCCCCCGTGGAGTGGCTGGTAGTTTCGAACCGCTGACCTTAAGGTTTGCAGCCCGATTCGTAACCACTATGCTACCAGAGCTACTACGGTTACATTAGAATTAAAAGAAAACTTCTTCCAAGGACAGTTAATCGTAGAATTAGGCTCAAGTGGAATTGTGGATGATATTCTTGTGGCCTTGAAAAGAGAAATGCCTTGACTTTAGTCCTAGAATCTTGTTTCTCTTCAAGGTCTTGTGGATTTTAACTTTGCATATAAATTAGTTTGTCTTCTACTTCAGTATTTCATCAGTATCTTTAAGTTATTTGTTAAAAGTACTGTCCCTCTCTCAGCACCTTGCAAACAATAAAGGAGCCCTGGTCACACAGTGGTTAAAGCACTGGACTGTGAAATCAGTGTCAATTTGAACCCACCAGCTGCTCTGCTCTGTAAAGATTGATAGCCTTGGAAACTCAATGGGGCAGTTCTCCTCTATTCTATAGTGTTGTTGTGTCAGAATTGACTCAACAGCAGTAGGTAATGGGTGGTGCAAATAATGCTTACTAAATACTGAAATGAGTGCAACTAATAACTTTTCTCCTCTTTAACTCCTGCTCTTTTTTTTTTTTTTCTTTTAGCAAGCAAGGATTTAGCGCAGACTTCTTACTTCATGGCAACCAACAGGTTTATATTTTAATTTTTTTCCTCTTTTTGGGATACAATTTTAGTTGGGTTGGAGTTGTCATTTTTTGAGAGGCATATAGGAAGATTTCAGGTCTGGCTATTAGTGAACTGGGATCCAAAGACCTAGGCATAGAAATGGTCCTTGCTATAGTGGACATATATTGATACATAATATAGGTAATTCTGTGATAAATGTTGATTATATAATGGTGCCGTAAATTCTATGGGGTTTTAAAATTGGTCATGGTTATATAATTATTTAGGTGCCGTAGTGGCACAGTGGTTCAGTGCTTAGCAGCAACTACCTGAAAGGTTGGCAATTCAAACCTGCCAACTGCTCTTTGGGATAAAGCTGAGGTAGTCTGCTTCCATAAAGATGAACAGCTTTGGAAAGCCTGTGTGAGCAGCTCTACTCAAAGGATTGAGTTGACTCAATGCCAGTGGGGGTTTGGTTGGTATCTATTAAGTAGTACTGAGTCTTTGTTAGCCTACTTGATTCTGCATGTATTACTTTGCTTTAAAATATCTAAGAGCACAAGTCTAAAAGTTTAGGTAAACTTGAAGTTAACAATGACTGAAAATCTAATTTAGAGAATTCTACAGTGCTTATGACATTTTAAAAGATTCTTTTTTTTCTCTCCCTGCCCCAAACAAATGGGTACTTATATGTGTAAAGAGTTGCAGTATCTTCTCTTAAAGAAATTTTTTTATTACACCTATTTTTTATTACCACATTACTTGCTCTCATTTCCAATCTACTGGATATTCTTGGAAATTAATGATACCTTTACATGATTTTCAAAGAAGTTCATTTTCAAATCCTGATAATGGAAAATTTTAAAAGTAAATCGTCAGTCAAAAATATTCACACTTCATGGAGTGATGATTATTTTAAATAGACTAGAACTATGATTAGCAAGAGTCAAGATAATTTTTTTATAGAGAGTGTTTCATTTAGGGATAACATGTACCAAAAATAGAGTAGAAAATTGGATACTATTAAAACGTCCATATACGTGCTGACTGATGTACTCAGTCTTTTTTAAGGGTAAGGAGGAGGTTCCCTGGTCAGTTTGTGGATTGAATGATGTGTAGTCAAGGAATTTGGAAAGTGTGTTACTTGAGGAGGTGAGTTAATAGAATCAGTATATCACCTGTTGGATCAGAGCACTGGATATTTCTTGCCCTTCTTCCTATCCAGTGTTCTGTTTTGTTTTTTAAAGCTCTTTTTCTTTTTTTTAAATAATGGAGAGTTTTAGCTTTGGGTTCAGAATTGAGAGCTCATGATACTCTCTGTTTCCTTCCCTCTGGTGTCAGCCTGCATTTGACCACATTTAGCCTGCAGTACACACCTCCTGTGGTGGCCTGTGTCTGCATCCATCTGGCTTGCAAGTGGTCCAACTGGGAGATCCCAGTCTCAACTGACGGGAAGCACTGGTGGGAGTATGTTGACGCCACTGTGACCTTGGAACTTTTAGATGGTAAGTGTTAGAGTAAGGGACCTTGAAAAGCACTTGCTCTTGATATGTCACATGTATGGCCAAAGGTGACTTGATTCAGATGAAAACTAGTGAGTTAGTTGAGGTTATTCTTGCTTTATTACTTCTGCTTCCCTGAGTCTTTTTGAAGTTCTATTTCTTTTGTTTCCTGTTTTTTTTTTTTTTTCCTTTTTTGTAGAACTGACACATGAATTTCTACAGATCTTGGAGAAAACACCCAGTAGGCTCAAACGCATTCGGAATTGGAGGGTGGTAAGAATTACTGCTATCAGCTTGTGGAATAAAACCAGTTTCTTTTTTGACTGCATCAGTGAGTGTACCTAAACTGAATGTGTGCTGTAATTTTGGAATTTCCCTGTTTATGCAATAATCATGACATCAACTTCATAGCTTGGATACTAGCCCAGACGTCAGTGGCTGTAAATGATAGCAGGATTTGTTTTGTGTTGTGTAAGTCTTGTGATATAATCATTTAGTCAGCAAATTATTTTAGTATTTTCTGTGTGGAGACTTAGGGGAAAAAGGTGGCTTATGTGACTCACTGAGTATTACCTTCTGGTGAAGGTAAGACACAGATTTACAAGATTTGACATCATCTGCTTTTTATATGGAGTTCTGGTAGTATAGTGGGTTATAAGAGTTGGGGTGCTAACCACAAGGTCAGTAGATTGAATATGCCAGCCGCTCTGTGAGACATATGAGGCTTTCTGCTCCCATAAAGATTTACAGCCTCAGAAGCAGTATGCAGGTTCTTTATGAATCTAAACGGAACTGACTCCATGGCACATAAAGGAGTCTAGATTTTTTTTATATATATAGATTGCAGTGCAAATTGTATGTAAAATATTTTTGAAGGTCTTAATTATTAATAATGGAATTATTTTTTTTTTCCAGTATCGTATAGAAAATTGGTTTTAAAATGTTCCCCTCATTTTTTGTAATTTTATTTTGAGTGAGTTGCAGAAGATGAGTTTACCTAGGGCTGAAAGGAAGCTTGAGAGCACATAAGTCATCTTCTGTTTTCATATAAGAGTTCATCAGAAATTCCAGAATTTGTTTATGGACTAACTATAATCATAAGAAAGCATGGTGGGTGTTCATAAGTATTTTTATGTATACACAATTTTTTTTTTTTGAAACCTTATTATATTGATAAGATTGCCCCGACTTTGATATAAAAAAATCTTATTTTTCTTCATGGTGATAATTCTTGGATCCCATGTTAGGGTAGCCTCCTGCTGATGGCCTCTCTTGAACTTCCAGGCCACAGCAAGCTACATATTTCAACATTTTTTCCATTTAATAAATTATATGAAGTGAAGAGATGTTATTTGCTTTATTCTAGGCATGCCAGGCTGCCAAGAAAACAAAAACAGATGACCGGGGAGCAGATGAAAATACTTCGGAGCAGACAATTCTCAGTATGATTTCTCAGAGTTCTTCAGACACGACGATTGCAGGTTTAATGAGCATGTCAACTTCTACCACAAATGCGGTGCCTTCCCATCCAACCACTGAAGACTCATCCAGCAACTTGAGCAGTGTGGAGATGTTGCAGGGCGAGCGCTGGCTGCCTTCTCAACCTTTTAAACTGGAATCTACTCAGGCTCATCGGACTAGTGAGAATATAGCACTTGTAGGAGTTGATCATTCCTTACAACAGGATGGTTCAAATGCATTTATTTCCCAGAAGCAGAGTAGTAAGAGTGTGCCATCAGCTAAGGTGTCTTTAAAAGAATACCGTGCAAAGCACGCAGAAGAGTTGGCTGCCCAGAAGAGGCAGTTGGAGAACATGGAGGCCAATGTGAAGTCACAGTATGCGTATGCTGCCCAAAATCTCTTGTCTCACCATGACAGCCATTCTTCAGTCATTCTGAAAATGCCCTTAGAGGGCTCTGAAAACCCTGAGAGGTCTTTTCTGGAAAAGGCTGACAAAACCTCTCTCAAAATGAGAATCCCAATGGCAGGTGGAGAAAAAGCTGTCTCTTCAAAACCAGAGGAGATCAAGATGCGTATTAAAGTCCATGCTGCTGCTGAGAAGCACAATTCTGTTGATGACAGTGTCACAAAGAACCGAGAGCACAAAGAAAAGCACAAGGCTCACCTATCTAATCACCATCATCATCACAATCACCACTCACACAAGCATTCACACTCACAGCTTCCAGCTGGTAGTGGGAACAAACGTCCAGGTGATCCAAAACATAGTAGTCAAACAAGCACCTTACCACACAAAACCTATAGCATGTCTAGTTCTTTCTCCTCTTCCAGTTCTGCTCGCAAAAGGGGCCCCCCGGAAGAGACTGGCGGAACAGTGTTTGATCATCCAGCAAAGATTGCCAAGAGTACTAAGTCTTCCTTAAACTTTCCCTTCCCTCCACTTCCTACAATGACCCAGCTGCCTGGGCATAGCTCAGACACAAGTGGCCTTCCCTTCTCACAGCCCAGCTGTAAAACTCGAGTTCCTCATATGAAACTGGATAAAGGCCCCACTGGGGCCAATGGTCACAACACAACCCAGACAATAGACTATCAAGATACTGTGAATATGCTTCACTCCCTGCTCAGTGCTCAAGGAGTTCAGCCCACTCAGCCTCCTGCATTTGAATTTGTTCATTCTTACGGTGAATATCTGAATCCACGTGCTGGAGGAATCTCCTCCAGATCTGGCAATACAGACAAACCCCGACCACCACCTCTACCATCAGAACCTCCCCCACCACTCCCACCCCTTCCGAAGTGAAAAAGGAAAAGAAGAGGAGAAAGAAAAAAACAAAAAACTTTAAAAAACATGCTTTTTTAAGAAAAACAAAACAAAACAAAAAAACTACTGATTCTGGACGAAGAAAATTACTTCCCTTATGAAATGTGTCACCCTTTTTGGACTAAGGAATAAATTGATATTGAAAAGTAGGTGGGAGGGTTGGTAGAGGGTCTTGGTTATTATATCTACTGCCTCAGAAATCAACTATTTTATTAGCGTTTTTTACTGGTATTAGAGAGGTGGGAATGTGTTGAAGCTGTGAAGGATTTAAGAACACTTTGTCTTTTCTTGGCCTCCACCTCCTAATTAGGTTGATTGGAGTTGATAATCTTCCCTCTTCTTGCCAGGACTGAAATACGAAGGGTTGGTTTTATCAAACAATTGTGGATACTTTTGGGGTTAATATATCAGAAGAGAAGGAAGTATTTAAATGTCAAAATCTTTTAATTAAGAGACTTTTTAAAAAATAATTTAAAGAAAGTAAGTTATCTGTTTAGTTTTTTTATATAATCGGGAGGGAATAGGGATTTTGCTGTGTCTGTGCTCTACATAGCAAAGCTTCCTAGGGAGTGGGGGGAGGTTTGAAGGGGGTATTGTGTCAGGGTGGGAGGGAGGGTAGTCTTTGGCCGAGAGTTCTGAGAGATTCAGGCCACCTGAAAGTGTTAAGACCTTTGAGTGTGTATGTAAGTGTGAGTATGTATGTTTAAAAGTGTGTGTTTTACAAAAATCATGTTTCACTGTACCTCTCTGTCTCTCACTTCCCAAAGTCTGTTAGGGAGAACATGGTGTGGCCTTGAGACAATAAGGGAAGGAAGAGGCATGCATTCGACATGACATTTCCCCCTTCATTATGCTGAAATTGAGTAATAGTCCTCCAACTTCTATTTTGGGCAAGTGCAACCAATGGTGTGACTCAACTTCATTGTAAGAGTTGCTTTTACTGCTATTTCCCCTTTAATGCAAAACAAAGGTGGGGTTGAGGAATAGTTAGAAATGAAGGCCAGCTTATACACTATGTAATTAATTGGGTCTTTTTCCAAGTTGGGCATTGGGAAAGTATTCAAGTGAGAGCAGTCTTGAAGGTCTCTGAAAAGGAAAGGGGGTGCACTCTATATCATGCCTAGGTCGGATGTGAGGATGGTTCTGAGGGAAGCCATGGAGCAAGAGGATATGAAAAATTGTGATTTGGAATTTTTAGGACATTGTATTTTACATTACATTATGAATGTGTAAGACTTGTCTTTTATTTGTAAATCTAATGGGAAACAACAACAGCATCCTAGATTTTTTTGCCGGCCTACCTTCAGAGATTAGAGCTTTTTCAATTGAGCAGTACTGGTGCCATGGTGATCCAGGCTAGCCAACAGATACTATTGTGCTTAGATACCCATCTTTGATGGTTTCAGCTTCAATACAGAAGGCTCCCAAGGAGATTTCTATGGGTTATCTTTAAAACGGGCCTTGAGTCCTGTTGGTATAGGGTTAGATTGTTCCAGAGTTTAGGAGTGAACATTTTTTGATGAGGAAAAAAATTCTTATTAAGGATTCTAAGCCAAGCTCTATAACTGTAAATGCCATTTAATTTCAGATCATTTCATGTGATGATTTTGATCTTCATGGTTTGTTTGGTTATAGAGAAGATGGTGCAAATTGAACTGCTTTTTAATGTAGCATCCTTTACACCAAATAGTATGTGGAAGTTGAATGCTTTTCATTGGAAGTTATAGGGGAAAACAAGAATTGTGTTGCTTGCTAGGTACAGGTTGGGAAGCTATTTAAATTGATGATTCACTGGCCTAATATAGGAAGGAATTTATAAGACAAACTTTACCAAAGGATTTCAGAATGCAAAGATGATTCGAATTTGAAGTTAGTGTTTTTCATTAATGCATATTTCGGCTGTCCCACAGTGCCTGTCATTGCTGTGTAAAATGAGCTCTCTGTTGACTTTAAACTTGAGTGTCATTTCACTTGTATAGATATGTTTTACTCTTTGATATTTCTTGTGTTGTGTTAGATAATTGGCAGGTGTGTGGCTGTGTTTATCAAATTTAGGCTTTTTGTTTGTTTAGATTATTTTGGCTGCAGTCCCTGACCTTCCAGAATATGCTGCTTAGTTTATGTCTGTATCTTTGTGGAGGTGATGATGACTGAATTGATTGTGTAAATGTCTTTTCCAGCTTCCATTTTTTTCCTCATCAAATATCACGTACTTTCTAATCACCAGTGCACTCCCTTACCAGAGAGGCTTATATCCACATGGCCTCATAATTCTCCATGGCAGTACTGTAGTTAGGATCCTTACAACTTTGTCAGGAGCAAAGTAGGAAAAAAAATGATTACAGGGGCCTAAGAATTACTTTATGTTGTGGTATCTGGCCTTTGTACTAATAGATTATTGCCAATATGGGGCAATTTCAGAGACCTTTCTATATTAATGCCTCCTGATATTGTCTTAAGTTACCTACCTCCAGTGTCTGCCTTTAGATCTATGTAAATGTCATAACTCTCCTTAGGACTGCATGAAGCTGGTGCATTGTCTTTGGGTTAGCAGATATGCCTGTCAACTAGCATGCATATCCAAACTACATACCTTAGTAAGGTTTCCAGAGGATGTGTGCTTTCTAAACTGTGTCTACTTTAGTCTCATACCTTCTAAGAGTGAGAAATAAGATTAATACAGACTTGCCAAGTTAGTCTAATAAAGCTGGCTTTAAAAAAAAAAAATATATATATATATGATATATATATATTGTTACCCTAGACTATCTAGGATATGTAATGGTGGTAAGCAGGCCTGGAACCCTGGTTCTATAGATCTCATTCGTAAAACTTTGTGTTAATCTCTTATCGGCAAAAAGATATCTGTGGATTGCTTTTAATCAGATACCTGTGTTGCGATTAGGTATCTCAAATGAAGTGTTAATCTAAAGCCAAATTGGTATTCTGAAGCACTAGATTTGCTTTTTGGGAATACCTTAAGTATTATTAGTCTTGCCTTCCCACTTATCAGTGTATTTCTATATCTGAGGAGCTCAGCTTTTTTGAAAAATGATTTTAGTGTTTTGATACATCCCTTTTCATAATTCTGTAGTACTGACTTCACCACTGTTGGAAGAAACTTTTTTAGTCACCAGTTAGAAACAACAATAGATTAGGACATATAAATAAAATCATGGTAACATCATTGCTAGGTTTCCATAAACCTCTGATACCTAGTTCCTCATATTACAAATGCACACCCCTTATATCTTGCTTTTGGACAAAAAGCAATTCAAGAGGCCCTACCCCAGTGTGATTGAAATTTAAATGTATCTGTGTTTCCCATATTCTGGGAATTGATTAATTTTTTAAATAAAAGATTTTCTTTTGTTGATGAGGCATTTCGATGCTCATACTAGAAAACATATTCTAGAACATCTTGAAGTTGCAGTATAAGTATAACTCTCTTGAGTTTATGAGAATTGGAGTAGTCTATGCAACTTATCAAATGGTGAGAAATCAGCTCTCTGCAGTCCCACTAAGTTTTCAGAGACTTTGATACCACCCTAAATCTTGTGTGTTGCTTTGCTCCTGGTGGGTTAGGAAATGTTCCTGTTATACCACACGGTCAAGTTTTACTAAGTGGGGAACTCTTCGTTTAAATGTTTGTAAAACATTTTAAATATGAACTTGGCATTGGGGAAGGATGAAAAAGAAAACTTTCCTAAAAAGCAGTGTTTGTTACTCCCTTTTTTGAGCAAGTATTCATGGTTGAATGAAAAAACAAAGGCTAGGCTTTGTGTTGTCCTGTTAAGGAGAGGGATGCTTGACAGCATGCTAATTGAAGCCAGAACAAGTATATCTCCATCCAGTCATTATGAAGTCTTTTGTTCAAAGTTGAGCAACTGTTTGGTGGTTAAGTTATATTGGGATTGGTTACAAAGTAGAACTGCTGGCTGGTTGAAGCACTCATAGAAAAGAAGGCAACAGCCTAACTGCTAGCCTGTGTTTCTGGATTTGAAACTGACTTTTTCCCACCCTGCTCCACACACCAGACCAAAGAGCTAAAAAGGGAGGGGTGGGGGGTGGGACACTTTACTAATTTGTGTCACTCAGGTACAATTTTGTGGTGAGATTTTTCTGTTTTCTTCGTATTGCTCTTAAAAGTACTTTCTCAGCATATTGTCCTGCCATTGCCTGTCCTCCTTGGGGCACCTCAGCTCTGGATGTTACCCCTGGGAACCTCTAATGCTGTTATGTGAATGATAGGATATAAGTGACCATTACAGTAAGGGCTCTTTGTAAAAAAAAAAAAAAATTCAAGGATGATGTATACATTTTATAGTCTGGCTATCAGTTTGATAACTTGCTGTCAAGTATGTTTCTCAATCTGTATTTATCCATCCCATCAATAAATGTTAACAATAAAACAGCCATCTGATTGTTTATGTATACTGAGTCTTTAAATTAGTCTTTAATTGTTTTAATTGATATGATTACAATTTGGCATCAGCTTTGGTAATAGGTTGTTTCTTATTGTACAAGATCCTGTGGGAATTGAGACCTCAGACATGATAGCAGTATGAGCTGCTTATCTAGAAAGCACTATCAGTATGATTCATAATTATATGCTTGGATTAATAAAAAAAACAAACAAACTTGGAAATGCTGATATAGACAGAGCATTTCATTTGGAAGAAAATGTATTTTGGAGAATACATTCCAGGCATCTTATAGGTGTCTGGAAAATTTGATAATGAATACTCACCCTTGCCTTGGGACATAATAAAATCACACTTAAAGAATAACATAGAGGGAACGGCTGGGGACTATAGACCCAGAGAGGGAGAGGGGCTATGTGCTGACAACCAGAGGGCAGGCTTGTAGTGTATGCCCTTTGGTTGGTTGATGATGCTTGGAGGGGATTGTAACCATGACAATGAAATGAAACAGGATGAATGTAAAACTTATGTTCTCCCATGTAAACTATCAATCACATAATTCACAATAAAACATTAA